TTTTTTTTTTTAAATAAACTGTAGTGAGATTCACAGTTTCCACGAAGGAGACGTGCACAGTTGCCCCTCCTCTACATCAGTCATTTGCTTCAGATTTGTAGTAGTGTAACCCCACCAAGACGCCACCACGGGCAATGTTGGTTTCTCTGAGCGAGCAGGCCAGTTTTACCGGAAAGGCAGTAACACAGTCAGAGGCCCCACTTCAGCGGGCTCCCAACCTTTGCTGAACAGGAATGTCAGCTCCAGGGAAACACGAGACATATGTAGATTTACAGCACTGTTTTGCAATACGTAGGCTGTCGGCGTCTGAAATGCTCCATGCAAACGGGCAAAACCTTCAATTAAGGCCCTTACAGTAGCTTGTCAGGTCTGACGATGATATGCAGTGCTGGACCTCTGAAGCAGCGCTAACCTCCAGCTGCAACACGTACACAGCCCGTAAACCAGAAGATGCATGCGAACACAGGCCAACGGTAAAAGGTGTGTGTGGGGGGGGAAATCAATTCAGTGCTCTGGGCCTCAGTTACACGCGACAGCACCACGAGTGATCGCAACACGCGGAGACAGTTGTAGCAGCACGGTCTGTCCCATAATGGCAGTTAACGTCGCACCCAGGCACACAGCTTACAGAAAAAGCACAGAAGCGCCGAAACGGGTCCCAGTATCGGGAACGTCACACTATTTTAATCTGAACAGCCACTTTGTTTCTAGGTTGAAAGCTAACCGCCCAGCGCAGCTGCAGCAGAACTGGGGTGAATGTAACAGTCCCTGCGTTTACACCTGGGCACGGCTGCGTGTGTATGCTCGGGGCCGAATTCAGCCGTCAAACCCAGACTTGTTTTTGAAGAGCTACTTGCAGCTCCTCACGGGAAGCAAGAATTCTTCTCTTCATTTTGCCATTTGAAATGTGGAGTTGAAAACAACTGTACTAACCCGAGGGATCCAAAGGCAACTTGGCCTCGAGTAAGTAACACAAATACCGCTGCCGTGCAGCAGAAAGGGATGCACCTTGCCTGCCATTCCATCTTCATGAACGTCTTTGAACCCACAAATTTAAGGCAAAAATTCAATTGCTCCCATTAACCTGAATGCATGTGTTCTGGCAATCAAACATCTTCTGGTTTACAGTGATACAGAACAGGTTTTTTTGATGCTGGAGATAAGTCTATTAGCCACACTACCAAAATTTTGGCAAAAATTCTAAAATCAGGTTTGTAAACAGAATGCGTCCCTTTTCAATTGGCAGCATTTTGAAAAGACAAACACAGTAAGACACACAAAGATTTTGCTCAATTATGACCAAATGACACGTGTTTTCACATGATAAAGTAAGCAATGTTTTACATCAAAATAAACGAAAAAAACTGCATGAAATGAAAGTTTGTGCTGTTTGGTGATCACAGTATTTTATAGTTAAATACATCTGTTCTTTGTTATATTCCTGGCACCCAGGACAAAAATCTTTAAATATATATTTCACGTAGACAATAGCTTCTTTGCATATCTCTCTTCAAAAAATACTTTATAGTAGTATATAAATAGGTAACCTACATGTCTAATTTTATAATCTTGCCCAAAAACTATATATCTGTTTCATATTTTAAAGTATCAATTTCCCCAATATTATTAAAGCTGAGAAACTATTGAAATGGAAATGCTCTCATCTTCCACAATAGAAGTAGCAATTTCATAGGAAAAACCTACAGCAACACTCGTCAGTTGTTTTAACCTGAGCGTTTGGCCTACTTGGAGTAGCAGCTTTTTTCTCTTCCCCACCAGGCACGCTCACACCCACACACCCTTGCACACGCACAGTACAAGCACACACTTCCAGACACTGGTAGGCCACGTAGCGCTTCCCAGGTGCTTCAGCGAAGTAGGAAGCAGTGTAGCTAATAATTTAACTACACTAAGTATACACAAGCAAACACCTTAAGGCAACCACTGCAATGGGGGGTTTAAGTTGCAGGGGTGAGTTTCTGTTGTAACAAAATGGGCTGTATACAGCACATATACATGCCTCTTTAACCCTCCAAAACAATGTGGTGGTTTTTTTTTTTTTATTTTGTGCAAATTTCTAAACTTTCTACCATTTAAGGCAAAGAGTTTGCATTAACAAGAAAGGTCAGAAAACAGCCTTATATTTATCCAAAAGCATTTCAATTTGATACAATATTTTCTTAAAATGTGCACAACTTCATAGTAAAGGTACTGGGTCCCCAGCATCTACTGATAAAATTATTTCAATGGACAAACATAAGTCTTGAAGAAAAGAAGGGACCGGAAAAAGCAGCTTCAAATATGCATATAAGCAACATCAACAACAACAAAAGTAGTTAAGTCTGCTAATACTGAAATGTCTGTAATGCAGAAGTTTGATAATTTTTAGAATCTTCGAGCAACTAATCTTAGGTTTTAAATAAATAAGCTTCAGTTCATTCACATGTCCTGGTCGAAGCAGAAGACTAGTGCCATGACTCTGCTTGCCGTTGGTCAAATTCCCCTATTAGTCTCTTAATATGAGACAGCTTGTTGTGGAGATACTCGCATCTGTATTTCTCTTCATAGTAGTTGGGGCTAGACTGTAAAGATAAGATAAAAGGAAAATTAGGGCATGAAAAGATTTCTGCAGAGTTTAATATTTCATGTCCTTTGCTTAAAAATAGCCTTGAGCCAGTCTCGGTGATTACTACCTCCCACAAATCTGGTGTGACACGTACCTGTTTTATCTTTCGATACTCTTCTAAGACTTCCTCATGAAGGATCTTCAAGGAAAAAAAAAAAATATCAAGAACATTTCACTACTACCAGAAAATGCAAGTTTATGTAAAACACTAAAAAATACACTCAGTTTTACTCAACATGTTTTCTTATCCATAAGCCACACCACTCTCCTGCATTACAAAAATAAACCCCCAACCTCCGCATATGACCCAAGATCTGCAATTAAACCTGTGAACAGGCAACAGAAGGAGCACGTGTTTGAAGATTCCCTTTGAGAAGTCGCTCACAGACAGTTCAAACAGGCGGAGTCTGAGGGCTGAACGACTTTTTGCAGGGTTTTGTCAAGCTACAAAAATCAGAGCTAGCCCATGCAGGGTCTGAGCATGTATGCAAACTCTGCAAGGTTTCCCTTTGTCTGATTGAGCAGCCCCAAGGATTTTAAAATATTCCTTCTGCTCACAAATACATTTGCAATCTGGCCAAAAACTGAATAAAAGCAATCAAAAATCCTCAGTGTGCACACAGAATTAAAGAATTCTGGTAATGAATTTGTATGTCCAAATCGGAGAAGTCCAGGCTGGAAAGCCAGAACATCAGGTTTTTAATACCCTTCTCTGCTAAAATTGTAGCTAGAATCAGCCACCCGGAAGATGAGTAGGTTGTGGCCGTAGGTTTAGTTAAGTGTGTAAAATCACAGGAAATAGAGGGTGAGGAAAACCTTGGGATTACAGCCGCTGTTTTCCAGGCACTTCCAATCTTCTCCCCCACCTGTGTAAGAGCACCCCCTCACCTCGCCAGGATGCCGAGGCGGTCAGCAAAGCCTGAGCCAGTCTGGTACCTCCAGCTATGCGACTGGTTGCTCAGTCTCAGACATTGAACCTGGCAAGTCTTTTAAAACCACGTCAATATAATTTAATAGATAAATATACTGAAGAGTCTGCCTGTGCTGAAAACGTGGACTTTTGGAAGAGATAAGAGGGAGATGAAACACAATCTTCACAGTTTTATCCTTCTTTACCTGATATTCTTTGGACCCTGGAGAAAGAAGCTTCCGTTGCGCATCAAGCTTCATGAATCTCCTGGTGACACTCTCTATCCGAGCGTGCAAGTTCCTGTACTCATCATACTCTGCATTGAAGTCATCCTTGTAACTCTGGCGTTGCTCGTATGAGACTATAGCTATGTATTTTCTAATGGAAAAATAAGCACACGTGCAATTTTACACCAAGGACGTTTCATAGTGAGTATCAGGCATAGACACGCAAGCTTTAAGTCAGTTAACTATGTGACTGACTTTGCTTCCATGTGTAAGCACATGTGCTCCAAGAGAATGCGTTTAGGTAACTACAGTAATCTACCATATTTTTGTGACCGTTATTTGCTAATATTTTACTTTTTAGAGTTTTTATTCAGATGCTGAGCAAAAAAAGGTGTGGCATACTTAGAAAACATTAGCAATCAATCATTCAAGTATAGAAGGACCAATAAACACATCAGCTTCAGTGAGATATGAGAAACTGCTAGATTGTAATCTCCTTCTCTGAAGGGACAGGTTAATTAAGTTATAGAGTCATAGAAGGGTTTGGGTTGGAAGGGACCTCTAAAGGTCATCTAGTCCAACCCCCCTGCCGTGGGCAGGGACATCTTCAACTAGATCAGGTTGCTCAGAGCCCCGTCCAACCTCTCTGAAGGACAGGTTAATTAAGTTATAGAGTCATAGAAGGGTTTGGGTTGGAAGGGACCGCCATCAAGCCCACCCCCCCTGCCGTGGGCCGTGGGCTCTGCAACTAGAGCAGGTTGCTCAGAGCCCCGTTCAACTAGATCAGGTTGCTCAGAGCCCCGTCCAACCTGACCTGGAATGTTTCTTTTTCTTTATATTTACTTTTGAAAATTAATTTTCATTACATTTTTGGAAGGGAGTGCATTTATGGAGTTGGATGCAGTTCAGTTTTTTGGCTACATTTGTGCCTAACAGCAAAGCACAGTTAACGATAAAATTTGGTTATTTTAGTGAACCCCAGTTCCATTGTTGTCCATTCAACTAAGGCAGTTGCAATACAGCAACAAAAACAAACTGCAGAGAAGTCTGAAACTAAAAACAGCCCACCACATCACCTCCTAAGCGGGCAAACCCCATAAATGCTTAAAGCCACCGATGCCATTGAACCTTTCTTCATTCCCCTCTCCCTCAAATCAACATGAGCAGATTTAACAAGCTCATTATACAAATCCAAGATGAAGTGGCAACGCGAGTAATAGGTACCATCTCCCACCACTGTCACACCAATACTTCCAGTCCTCCTAGCCTAGAGACCTGATTCTCTCTGGATGACACAGGCACCTCCACATGGGGATTAATCCCTCAAACCACCCTTAGATTAAGTTTAACAAGCAGTAAAAATTTAAGAAGTTGAAAGTCTGTACCAACACAGACAACAACTTTTGTCGGTGATGTATCCCAGGGCAGAGGCACCTGATTAGAGTACTAGACAGTTTTTAAAAGAAAACTAAAGATGCCCTTCATCATTTTGGGAGGTACCTGTGAAGGGATAGTGTGGAGTACTGGCTTACGCACAGTTACCTCCCACGGCAAGAGTCCTAGCACAGGACAAGAGCCCAGCAAAGCACTCGCAACCTAAGTGTGTGGAGAGGGAAGAAATGAGAGTAGAAGCGGGGAGAAACGTGAATCTGTTTTGTTTTTCTAGCTTTTGTTTAAACTTTGCTTAAAAACCTTGAGTTCCTTTACTTTCATAAGCTTTGTATTAAGATGGAAAGTATCTTTATGCTAAAGCTGTGATTATACTCATGAATTATGTAGCACTTAGAGACAGGAAGAGAAGCTGGAATAAACTATCAAAGTCCTTTAAACTGCATCAAATCACAGGTGCTCTCAGGTTTTAATCTTTCCATAATGATCAGGCAGATGTCTCAAACAGCACAACCTAATTTTTTACCAGGACACTATGGCCAGTAGATTATCTGTGAGATTGTTCCAGAGGTTGTTCCTTTCACAGAGAATTCTTCATAAAATTTTTACTCCCAATCAGAACTAAACCAACTTTATGAAATCCAGCATGAAGGCTTTTGTTTTGTTTTTTTTTTTTAGACTTTTAGCAATGGCTTTTGGCATCCAACTTTAGTATTAGATTACATCAAATAACCCTATACCTTACTTCTCAGTATCACTGCTCTCAGCTCACTGGGAAGCAGACAGCGAAGAGCTGAATCTGCCTGTTTTCACCCAGCAGAGGTTGGGAATTAAATGTAGGTTTGAGTTCTCAGCCTAAGACGTGAAGCACTAAACTGCTTCCCTGCAGGGCCAGGCTTACTTTCAGTCTTTCCACGGAGCATCACTTACTGTATTAAATATGATGCAGGGGGCTACCGTGCCATCTGCTTCAATGCAGATGGAAGGTGCACCAAAGTTGAAGTGCTACAGGGAGGCCTGACCTCCCTTCCGGACGTTACTCCTCTGACAGAGGTTGGTGAACCTGGCAATTCGCAGTGTTTTAACAGACTTCTCCCTCCCCTCCTGCACTGCAAATACGACAAGGCGGCTCAGCGCCACTGCTGCGGCTGATGCGGTGCAATCGCACTGCTAGGAAGTATCAGGCGCATCCTGGCTTCACCTACCGTGGTGCTCATTTCAGCTCTGAGCATTGAAGTGCCATCAAAACCTTCTCAAACTCATCCTTCCAACTGAGGAAAGAGCTTGAGATTGCTCCCCACTGTGCTCATCCCCCCACAAAAAAAGCATTTTATTAGAAATTCAGGTGGCACTGACCAAGTTATTCCAGTTATTCTACTGCAGCCTCCTTTGACTTTCACATTTTTAAAAAAAGGCCACCAGTAAAACAGCAGGAAAAAAGCCCAAGCACTGGGCATTTGCAGAAGCTATTGCTCTGTTTTACAACAGTAGAGAAAAATCCTCCTGATAGAAAAGTTTTAATATTCTAAAAAGTATTTAGGCAACCAAATGATTCTGTTAGTACAGCTATTTCGTTTTAAAGCAAGTTCTTTAATACTTGTCACGGATGAAAAACTTTTTTAAATAGCAGGTAAATTTTAACTTTTGGGCATGTTAATCTGATGTGTGACGACTTGTTAAGGAGCTAAAGTTAAACCTACTTATAAAATTAAACTGTAATTTTATAGACTGCAGTATGCCAGTCATTGTAGGTGTGTAACATTTCACATGCAGGTTTAATCCATTTTTATCTTGCATTGTAGTCAAAATGAAGCATCTAAAATTTAAAATTTGAATTGAGATTCTTCTATTTTCTCTAGCTCTTTGGTCTGCAATTCTGTGGTGGAATTGGATATTTTGCTGTAGCTTCAAGTTAGTCAGTGGCCATTTTACATCAAAGTTTTAGAAATAACTTTGATGGTTAACTCCTGTTAGCTCCTATGTAGGCTTTGTAGTGCCAGACTTGAAAGCCTGCTATCTTCCCTCCCCACCTTTCCAGCTCAGATGCACTAAGCAGCAAAAACACAGGAAAGATGTTCAAATTTACGTATTCAGTATTTCAGTATTCAGTTTTCTTCCTGTATTGCCTTGCCTCTAAAAAGAAAACAGTGCATGTTCATATTCCTTTTATATTGTGTTCTTGAAGAAGAATGAAATTAAATGTTTTAAGTCTTCTTCTAAAGCATATTAAAAATTCTTTTTCACACTTCTTTTCCCCCGCAATGATTAAGGGACAACCTCAGAGTTTAAAACTTGCAGGTACTCAAATAAGGCAGCTGGGTGACTTAAAGGAACTTGTCATTCTTCTCAAATTACATTTTGGTAAATTTTCAGTTTTGTAGCTAAATGAGAGCATTTATAGGCGATTTTTCAACGGCTTCAATGAGCTGCAAGAGACTTTTAATCCTTATTTTACTCACATGAAGTAGTCTGGTTGTTCACTTGTTGATGAAGGAGGATCTGTGGAGGCAGTGCAAGTTTCTTTAACTCCTACAGAAATGCAGAATTTTGACACTTGTGATGAACAGATTTTTAATATAGCCAAACAATAGCAACCTGATGCGCTTAAAAAATCCTTTAGAGTTTTATTCTCACAGTAAATTACTTATAGAACTTATTCTAAGTTCATAATAGGGCTCACGTGACCTTCTCTGTAGTAGGCAGTACCGGGGTTTAGAAAGAGGGCACAGCTACAGAAAAGCAGAATTTTGACACTTGTGATGAACAGATTTTTAATATAGCCAAACAATAGCAACCTGATGCGCTTAAAAAATCCTTTAGAGTTTTATTCTCACAGTAAATTACTTATAGAACTTATTCTAAGTTCATAATAGGGCTCACGTGACCTTCTCTGTAGTAGGCAGTACCGGGGTTTAGAAAGAGGGCACAGCTATTCTATTCTACAGGTTCTGCGCTACCGCAATATTAACCCGAGGTCAGCTTTTCTTATTTGAAGACATGATGTGGCATCTGCACAGCAATTCAAGTTATGCAGCAACAGATGTAGCTGCACAAAAGAAGACAGCTTGAGATGGATATATATATCTATATATCTATCTCAACATCCAGGTTCCAGCAAGAAATAGAGTAGAAAGCTGAAGTTCTTTTTATGCCATGTTTTTATCCCTCCTTCCCGGCCAATTACGGATATCCAAAGTAGATTTAATTTCAGTGCTCTTCTAAGCAGCAAAGTCAATAGCTTTGTATATGGGTTACTGGCATTCAGGCTTCAATAACCTGCAACAAAGACTTGCTCCTCATTAACGTGGCAATACTGGGTTTGAAAGTTATTTGCACTTTTAAATTGCTCTTTTAAATGGCATTATGAAATGATGTAGTAGTACATCAGACAGTACACTTAATCTCTAATCCCTCTTCTTAAAGGAATATTTCAAGAGCCCCCTATATTTTTGATAAGTAAGAAAAATAGCCACCGTAAATAAAAGTTAGCTGGAACAGGAAGGAACACTCAGTATCTTGGCAATCTCTCTCTGCTTTTCATTTGGGATTTTGTGGCAAGCTTAAAAAACACATAATCCTTTATATTCATTATTATCTTACATTGCCACTGTTTAGACACAGTATTTCTGCCAAAGCTCAGCCATTCCTGCCAGTCTCTAAGCTATCTCAGCTTTTAAGTCATTGGGAGAGACAAGAGCTATCGTGCAATATTCTACTTGATTCTTTTGCTTTTAATATTAAAATTATTACGTGGTATAGCAGGAGTATAAAAAGGAGTGTAAAAGTGGGAACAAAATTTGAGAGAAATGCAAACAGTAATATTCACAGTCACAGTATGTACACTACAACTTATGTGAACAGTTTTGCTGCGAGTATTTAATTTCCAAAAATTCCAAGTGCATTTGTTGGCATGGCTCGGTCCATTTGAAAGCTTCAATGTAAGCACCAACTTGAAACATAGTACAGATTTTTCCTTCCCTAGCTGTTCAGAATTTTATTACTGGCTTCTGGAGAAAGATGCTCACATTTCTTTATAAATTCAAGCTTGAATATTTTCAAAGCAATCCCAAGCCATGTGGGCACTGTGTAGATCCAAGGTAAACGTGAAAAGACCATCTCAAAGCACCCTTATCTGCAGGCGCAACACCATTTCAAAGAGGCACCCAGCATACTCTAGAGATGCCTCCGAGCTGTGATAGGAAAGGGCTAAACCTGACTTCCAACTTGCGAGTCAAGCCTCTTAGAAATTAAACAACACACAGATTTAACAAAGCAACTGAACTCTGCCCTATTTTGTGTGTGTGTGTGAAGAAATCAAGTATTCTTTGTGCGTTTGTTTCGCTTTTTAATGCCATTTTAAGCACGTACTATTTCTACATCTTTTGAAGTCGTAAGTTCTGCAGCTAAGATGGAGAGGAGCTTGCAGCACAGTTCAAACCAAAATTCTAGTAAACCACGTGCCAGTTTATGTAGGTTTTAGACTTTCCATGAAAAGGCAGAGTTCGATGAACCTTGCGTTGTGATACGCAATGAAATACATTTATGTCTGATCTATGTGTTTCAGTAAGCTAATATGCAGTAAGTATGTGTGACAGGTTTTTATTTTCAGCATGCACACTTCAAAACTTGCTGATGGAAAAAAGTGGAGTAAGTTTCAGTAAACCGTCAATTTACTGGAAATCAAGCAAAAAAAATTCCATTCCTTGGGTTTTTCTAGTACCTAGCTCTTCCTTGTAACCAGCTTCTGCCCAAGAGCAATTCATTTAAGATTTCTTTGTTCTAGTAAGTTTTGTACTACAGAGTGACAATTCTTAAAAATGAACCTAATATTAGCTACGGTTCCAGCAGAACAAGTCCTGCTTCTGGTTTTTGTTGTTGGTTTTGGTTGGTTTTTTTTTAAACTAACAGTTACAATGTAATGCAATGGCAGAAAAAAAAAAAACCAAACTGATTCTTCATGACCATAAAGTAGGGATAATGGCAAGGCACTTAATATATAGCAAGTGAAAAAACAGACCATCTGCGTTTCTAGTCCCTGGTTTTACTGGTCCCTTTTCACCAGGGTTATCCATATAATAGTTAGGAAAAGCAGCGTATTAATACCTTCACCTGAATCCAAATGGGAGGATTTTTTCAGCTTGGCAGTTTCTTCTCTTCTAAGATCTTTCTCCTCCTCGCTCGCATTCATAGTGTCCTGCATTTTGCTTTCATCCTTCTCCTTAAGCTCTTTTACCTTCTTGGGCTTTTGGTGCAACACCGCGTGCTTCTCGCCTGCAGACTTGGGAGGCTCCCCCTGCACCGCGACAGGCACTGGGATTCCCAAAGGAGTCTGAGAGGTATATTTTTGTTGCTGGTCCTCATAGATGCTACTGCTATTTTGACTGAAGCTGTCCAGCGGCAAGTCTTGTGTCCCCTGCCCCTCAGGGGTGCTGGGGGAGCTGGAGCTGGCAGTTTGAGGAGGATTGGAAGTGGGAAGGAGTGTGGGAGGCAGAGGAGCAGGAGTAGCAGCGGCTGCAGGGGGGGGGGGCGGCGGTTTAAACTAACAGTTACAATGTAATGCAATGGCAGAAAAAAAAAAAACCAAACTGATTCTTCATGACCATAAAGTAGGGATAATGGCAAGGCACTTAATATATAGCAAGTGAAAAAACAGACCATCTGCGTTTCTAGTCCCTGGTTTTACTGGTCCCTTTTCACCAGGGTTATCCATATAATAGTTAGGAAAAGCAGCGTATTAATACCTTCACCTGAATCCAAATGGGAGGATTTTTTCAGCTTGGCAGTTTCTTCTCTTCTAAGATCTTTCTCCTCCTCGCTCGCATTCATAGTGTCCTGCATTTTGCTTTCATCCTTCTCCTTAAGCTCTTTTACCTTCTTGGGCTTTTGGTGCAACACCGCGTGCTTCTCGCCTGCAGACTTGGGAGGCTCCCCCTGCACCGCGACAGGCACTGGGATTCCCAAAGGAGTCTGAGAGGTATATTTTTGTTGCTGGTCCTCATAGATGCTACTGCTATTTTGACTGAAGCTGTCCAGCGGCAAGTCTTGTGTCCCCTGCCCCTCAGGGGTGCTGGGGGAGCTGGAGCTGGCAGTTTGAGGAGGATTGGAAGTGGGAAGGAGTGTGGGAGGCAGAGGAGCAGGAGTAGCAGCGGCTGCAGGGGGGGGAGGCGGCGGAGGGGCGGCAGTGGCTTTCTCACTGGAGGCAGGCAAGTGGCCACTGAACGATGACTGGACTCGACTGGTCAGGTGAGATATCCTCTGCTTTTTGTTCATCAGAGGATCAATAAAATCAGAATTCAAAAGCCGTTTCTGTAATAAAGAAAAAAAAAGAAAAAAAAAACTCAGCACAATTAAGTTTTGCTCCCATTCTGAAAAAAGGAACATTTCTGAACAGGCAATTGTTGAAAACGCACCTTTCTTATCCAAAAATAGCTGTCAGACAGGGAACTACTGCAGCTAAATACATGGTTTGTTTCATTCTTAGTTTCTAATCTTACGATTTAGCCAGTTGCTCTTCAAATCTACAGCTAAAAGGCTTCAGGAGAAAGATGCTCTCTTCAGCAGCTCTATCAAAGGCTTCACCAAAACGAGGAGGTCAGGTCAGTATTGTTTAGGTACCGATTTCAGTTCGGACATTTAAGAGTCAGCTTTTGCTGTCACACAGCCACGTGGCTGTGCGTTTACCAGAGTGCAAGAAGTGCAAAGCTGATAAGAACAGGTAAAACCCCCAGTTTTGCTACAGTTGTCGTTCCAGCTGTTGTCCAGCCAAAATGCTGGTTCACATCCTCTTCTCCAGCAAGCATACACTGTCCCCGTTGATGTACAAGCGGCAGCTTGGACCAGCAGTGCCAGGCATAGCTCTGTGCCACCCTGCTGAAATAAATCCACATTCTGTGGGTACAGAGGCAGGTCCCTGGGACCTGCACCATTTCACCCTCTGACTGGAAGAAAGCTAGGGAGAAAACAGAGGTGTGCTCTCCCTCCTCTATTTAAAAGTAAATATCTCAGTGGTGAAAGACCTTCCGTCCTTCCCGGCTTATTGCTGTACACACACAAGCTCTCGTGTTCTTCAGATTTCAATTGCATTTACTATAGTGCAGTTTTAGTCACAGAAAGTATCTAACTTTTCCTTAAAGTAGTGCCTTTTACACAGAGTTTTCCAAGCTGCTTCTAAAATGGTTTGCATTGTCCTCTTGTATTGATAAGAAGACAGGACATGCGCATTTTAAGTCTGAAAAGGCTGGAGGAAGGCAGATGTACTACCTGCTGATTCAGATCTGCCTTTTCACACCCTGAATCAAAATGGGTGCTTCAATGATGCCTATAGGGGGGGGAAAAAAAAAAATTCCTCCAAGTGGATCACTAATGTAATTTGTCCTTATTCTAGACTTTCCTAAGCTTGACATTTAAACAGTAGCAGAAGGATGTTCGTGCGTATTTTATGTATTACAACTAACATATCACAAAGGACCTTGAAGACATGCAACCATGTAACAAAACTATATACATACCTTGTCTTTAGAAGATCTTCCTACACACCAATATAAACAAGTTATGTGGCAATACAAAACAGTTTTAAGTATTTAACCAGAAAGTACGGGGTTGTGTAACAATAATGGGTAACCAAGAAGTTCAGCAGGTGAGTTTAAACTCTACAGGCGAGTTTAGGCTTCTGCAAGGTCAATGTGCTAAAATGGACAATTACGATTTAGGCCAACATGTTGGCTGTTCAAACACGACAGGGGTGGTCTCTGTCAGAGATCTAGGTGTATTTACAAAATACTGTGTAGACAGGAATTGTTTATTTTTCTGCATATTTTAATAAACATTCTGAAATACAGAACACTAAATATAGCAGCCCTTAAGCTATGTGACCATAAGTTTTTTGCAGTCTTTGACAGTGCAACCACCTTTAAAAAAATAATCCAATTAGAAATAAATGCTTCAGTTTTTTATGTGTTAAAGACAATATTAGTGCTTCACATCACAGCTTTTACACCAATATAAAGTGTGATAAATCTTAATACGCTGTAAATAATGTCAAAAAAATACAAAATACCTGAGAAGTCGATGGAGCATCTTTATTACAAGTTACAGGAGATTCCAAATGGCTGGTGCTGGTGGCATTCTGAGATGGATTTAATTTTCTGTAAGGATGACCCAACATTTCAGGTTACAAGGCAAAAACGTCTATGTCATAGTTCTTGCATTATAGGGAAGACAGACATTGATTTCCCAGAAAGAGCTTTTTAAATGGCTATTTTCCTTCCCCTAGAGACTGAACTTACCTAGAAAGTATTAACTCCAATGACTGTTTATCTATTTCATTGTATCCAGGCCAATCTTTTTGAATTTCTTTAAATACATAATCCTTCAGAGTGTAAGAATTATCCTTTGGATTCAGGTTGGCTACCTACAGGCAGACATTTAAGAAAATAAATGTTCATTATACCTAAATGCAAACTACAGAAATAAGATTGGTACTGCAAAGCTAAGTCAAAGCTGAAAACGAAATCACACACCAGTTTTCCACATTTTTTTTAGATGTGAAGATCAAAGTAGTTCTCAGTAATGAGCACCAATTTTAAAAAATGTGGTCAATTTGGGATGTAGAGGTTTGGATGTAAGAAAATCCCAAACTGCTGTAAGCATGTATGAAGCGTACTCGATGAAAACCTCTCTCTGCACCACGTATCTGTTTTTTTTGTCTTTAATACAGCATTGAGAATTGAGGCAAACTATGCCAAAACTTTAAATCTTCACTGCATGAAATACATTGAGAGGCCTGGTTTTTATTTTTATTTATTTTTCTTTTTTAAGAACTGAAGAACACTACCTCCACATACAAATTCAGAGCTGTTCAACTTCAGGAAGACACTTGCTGTTCTTTTGCTTTACGCAGCTATACTGCGATGGCAGAGCACAGACTGTGCCTGGAACAATGCATGTTTTTCCATCATCACATTAACGACCACAGTATGTTGTCATTTGTCCTGACAAACAGAATTGCTTTTCTTTCTCAAGTGCCTGAGCCAAAAGAAACTGTACCTTTCTACTGCACAGTCGTATGTGATAACCTAACTGGCACTGAACAACTACTTTTAGTACAAAGATGAATTATTTATATATCCCATGAGTTTTAAGCCATATTGAAGTTTTACCGATTGGGAAAAAAGTAACTGTACTCATATCTAACAAGTTATATTTTGAAAACAAGATTTAGTGCTAAAATGGTTAAGGAGAGGTGTACAGGCCCAGATGCACTCTTCATTTTGCAGACACAGGGTTCATTACAGCAAACCATTGTCACAAGAAGGTCATGTGCATGCCCTGCTGTATATACCTTTGAAAATAAAATGGGCTTATATCTTCCTTAAGAAAAATACAGAGTATGCTCAAAAAGTTAAAATGAGCTAGTACAACCTTGAGACCATTGACACCTAAAGTGCTGTTTTAGACTTCATCACCTGACATCGGTTCAGAGTTTCAGAGAAAACCTCAAAGAAAAAACAGTCTCCGTCAATTTGCCTGATACAAAATGCTGAATAACTCATCAACATATCACCACCACTTTTTGCAGCTTTGCCTATTTTTCCTTCAAAACGATAGATAAATACTGCTAATTCGTGTGTGTGCATGTCTGCTTCTCCCCAGCTTAAAAAAAATTAAAAGTAACAAAGATATCCATAAACAGTAATTCACTTGTTACAAACAGAATTAAAGCTGCATTCCAAGAGAAGCAAATCTGCGCATATTAGATCTTAGCAAGTTCAGGCTGCTGATTTTATATCTGTACAAAATGACACTCATCGTGAACCTAAGAAAAACACGAGCAAGGCTCTTCAGGGTGTAGTGCTGCTAACGTGACCATTTCTGAACATAAACCAGTACCTTGAGGTAGTTCACACCACATACAGGAAACAGGCACCAAGAAAGTCCCCTTAAACATTGTCAAGCATAATGGGACAGGAGAAAATTTTTGCACCTTTTATCCTCTAGGGAGCTGAGCTTCTGGAATTTTATAATCAACTTATACTATAAATCGTCTACTTCAATTTGTATGTAAGAACATGGCTCTCATTAAATTGTCTGTGTCTTCAGGGTGAAAAAACTACCATTGCACTAGGCAAACAAAGCGACAACGCAACATATTCAAGGAATGAGTTTTTAAAATTCAGTGTAGGATCAACCAAAGCTGTGTAAGTGTTGAATTTTACTCACTTTAATAGGTTCCAAAAGACTTTTTTCCTAGATAAATAGGAAGTGTTCCTACCTTACATATTAATACACGCACAATTCAACCACAGTCTATGGGTACAGGGAGTATTTAAAAAGTAAGGGAGGAACCACTACATCTTACAATACTTTAAGAAGCCTTTTCTGAACTGTTTTAGTAGAAAATTCATGAGACACTCTTGAACACACAGCTTAAAAATTCATCTATAACATTATAGGCTTACCAAGAATTTTGATGGGTATAATAAAGAAATACAAGTGGAACTTAACTCAAAGGAGCTCTGGAAAAGCTACTGAATAAAAAAAGGTTTCGAGTAAGATAAAGACACAATCCACAAGATAGCAAAGAAACACTATGCTCAAAATCAGACCACCACCCTTTTCATTTACAATTTGGTTGGAACACCCTTCCCTGGCTTGCAATTCTAACAGATCCCAGGAGAAGCCAAGCACCATTTACAGGCCACCAACTACGTTCAAATGAAATACTAACCTATGCAATTACCAAACTTCTCTCCTCAAACTCGTCACAAGAAATATTAAGTACTATGACAAACTATTTCACACTATCAAGAGAATGTATGGTCAGTTTCTCTCAATTAAGCAGTTTACCAGTCCAAGTAAAAGGGAGAGGAAAAAATAAGACATTAGGAGCAACAAAGCTAGAAACGGTTAATTATTGCCTGCTCTTCTAGCAAAATAAAAACACTCCCCAGAAATTTTTTAATATTTCTTTCCTTTCCTCATGTTAACTTGTAGTTTGGGGCATCTGTATAAATTTGATTGAAAAACTTAAATGAGGAGCATTACATAAGTTGTTTATTATTTTCTAATTTAAGTACAGGAGTAACATACCTCAAAATTACAATTAAAGGAACAGCAGGAGGGAAAAAGTGCTGGCACAAACCCCATGATCTCACCTGCTGAAGAATAGTTCCAAGGGAATTCTTGTCCTTTTGGTTGACACCATCCCTCTGCAAGCGAGCAAGTAACTCTGGTTTCTTGTAACTCTTCAGTGCCAGTAAGTGAATCACCCTGTCCCTGTACGGTCGCTGAGAAACAGTATTGTGTGTGTGAGTCCTCCGTATTGTGTTTGCAGGGTTCATGGGTGTTGACCTCTTCCTCTTGGGCACAGCATCTGGAATGCTTTGTGGTGCTCTTCTGACAAGACATGGGAGGTTGGGACAAGACAAAGTTGATTTAAAAGAATTTACTAAGTCGGATAAACTCTAAAAACTGTATTCAAGATCTGTAAGAATATACAGGTAGTAAAGATGCATCAAGCTAGGCATTAACAAAGAAATATTCAATATTAAAAAAAAGCTGGTAAATGAGTGATACTGGTAGGAAGACTTTACTGATTATTTATATAGATGGTGCTTTTATTATTTTTCTAGTTTATAAGCTCAAGCACTGAATACCCCAAATCAGGTTGGTTTTTTTTTTAGAAGAGTACTCTAAAGTGTGACGCAAAGGTCCTCCATATAATTAAAAGATTCCCCACTAATGCCTGGGGAGACCAAGTCTACACAATTAATTGCATCACCGCTTAAAGAAACTACCAACCCTTGGTGTTTATCACTTGAGTTACCATAAGTTACACCACATTTTAAGCTGAAATGTTCCCCTCTTATTAAATAAGCCCAGGTTTTCAGAAACAATACACCGAAAATTTAACAGTTCTTGGGACCAAGGCCACAGAAGTTTTAAAACATGGCCTGCACCGCATTTTGGATCAAGCTCTATAAAAAGACCTGTTTCTCAACTGGAGGAACAATGCAAGTGTTTGCAAGTGATGCCTCCAGAATTTAAAAATAACACCACCCAACCTGAATCCCAGTTTTCCAGAAAACAACCCAAACCTCTCTACTCTGTGTTTTTAAATAGCACTTGCTATTGGACAGAAAAAAAAAGATTTATCAGAATATTACAGAAAATCATTGTAGGAAACATTGTTTGCAATCCAACAGAGGATGTGACACAAACTAGGCATTTTTCTGAAACCAGCAACTCATGTTTGGTACATGAGGGAGACTGAATGAGTATTGGTAAGAAAACCTGGAGCTTGCTGTCTTCTATCAGATACACAGAGACCGAGCTGTGCTTATGTACTGCTTGCCCTCAGGAAACAAAATTTGTTTCCATTTTGCATTGGAGGCCAAGCCTTTATAACCTTTCCACCCTGCATGTTCCCTGGACTTTGCCCTTCTGGTTTTCAAGAACAAACCCACTCACGCAAACACACATGGTTACATTTTTAGAACAGTATGAACTTGCCAGTTGTTTATTGAACACATTACAAACATTTTGACAAGTTAAATTCAATGTAGATACACAAACCCCAGGCACAGCTGATAGTGTAAGCAGCATTCAAACAAAACACTTCCTAAAGTCATGTCTCCAAATCACTTAAAAAAAAAAAAGAACAACCGCCAAACTGAAAACACAACGGAGCGTTAACATGATTAACAACCCCAGTTCCTAATTTGTACAGCATGAAGCATGTTGCAAAGTCACTCCCGTGCCCTACCAGCAACTAGACCTGTCCTACCTGAGCTTCGTCAATGCCAGTCTGAAACCAGGGTATCCCCAAACACCGTAATTGTCCTACTGCCAGTCTTCAGACCCCATTTATTTAATGTTAAATATTCACTTAAGCTCTATTTAAACAACTAACAAGAATCACGCAGATCATTCACATGTAAAACAGAACTTCCCCAATGAGAAGTTTAGAAATAGATGAAAGTGGCTCCTCTCACGTTGCCGTTAGAGAGCAGTTTAGACAATATGGGGGAAGCAGTCCCAACCTCCATTGTCCTGGTATTAACCCGTACCCAGCTCCCTTAGTGTCCAGGCCACACACACGTAGCTTTGTATCTCCAAAAAGCCGTGACGATGCTGGCTTAAAACGCTCTGCAGTAAGTTGAGGCAGAGCAAGCGTTGCACCGTGACTGTCAGGGACGTCCATGCTGGTGGAGGACTGCAGCCAAAGCCAAGTGAGAGCCTGTTTTACTTGACGAAGATTGATGTACCTGGTTCAGCTCACTGCTGCAGGCAGGACCACCGCTGCCTGTACCACTGAGTGCCCATGAGGCGGATGCTCACCTTGTTTCTATCTGCAGCCGGCTCCAGGCTCCTCAGGGAAATGGTACTCAGAACAGTTTAATAACGGATGATACCACCTAAACGCTTTTTGTTTTGTGGAAAACTATGAAATCCGTGGGGAGACGCCAACGTTACCTTACTTTAAATTTAAAGAAAAACCCAACCAAAACCAACCACATGGTCTTGTGGTAACAGTTGCTTATTAATGACCAAGACATAAAATAAATAAAATTTAATCAGCATTAGCAAGGGTGAAAAGCAAAGTTTTTCATATTAAGCTTATGAATTTGTATATGACACTTCCTCAGTGTTAATTTTCTTAGATTACAAATTAAGGTTAATGGTTTAGCACAGTATTTAGGTACTCAAAAGTGCTGTTACAAAACCAAAACATTAGCTACTAAACCAGAGAATTTAAGTGCATGGGGTGGTAAAAACCCTCACCTCAATGGTCAAAATTTTGACCAGTCAAGCAATATGGGAACAAGGAAGGACTGGCATGCTTTCTCGGGGAAAAAAAGGCTGATGTCTGAATGCAGCAACAGGAGACTGCAAGCTACATGAGGGCAAGCTACCTACACCCGAGACCTCTGAACACACCACCTTTCCCAAGAATACGCTGAAAAGATGAATTACTGCGTTTGAAAGCTTACAGACATCTAGTAGAAAATGAAATACAACCATACCTAAAAATGGTCCACCAGGTTTAATAACCTTTGCACTTCGATTGCGCGACTCCTCTTCTGCCTGGGTCATGCGCTCTCTGGTCGTCAGATAGGAATCACTTGTTGCACATACTGTAATTTTATTCTGTATACATCCCAGGCAACTGAGCTGCGAGGCTCCAGAACTATAAAAACATTGAAAAAGGTTGAGCCCAAGCACTCGTTCAGGTTTAGAAGTATGGATGTATCAGGAACTTTAAAACCTGTCTTAACAGGTGAAGAAAAACGTTTTCCAGTTCTGACAGCTAGCTAGGGCGTAAATAAATTTCAAATTGTCTCTACGCATCCAAATGGTATCAGTTTTACCTGTCGGTGTAATCTCATTTCCTCACATAACCGTATTTGAGAGGCAGACTCAGGGCAGTGTTGGTGGCTGTACTGGCAAGTGCTGCAATGACAATTACAGGGACAACTCAGGCAGTTACACTGGCACCCTAATGGCAGGCAGCTCCTGCCCCGCAGGCTTTCCGCCGGCCACCCGGCTCTCAGCTCAGCACACGTCTCCTCTCCTCTTCCTGAGGTGGCCCGTGGCGGCACCAGGCACTGCGAGGCCCAGGGAGGGCAAGCCAGCCTCCCCTCAAGGCCTGCGCCCCCGCTCTCCCCTCATCTTGCTTTCAAAGATGCCCGCCCTCCTCGTTGCCTGCTCTGTGCGTTTGACAGCGCTGAGGAGTGCTTGCGCTTCACCCGCCTGCTTCTCTGAGAATTCATGTTTGAAAAGAGGCACCTAGAGCAAACGCTGCGTGAGGGGAAGGACCACGAGGCCTCCTCGATAGTGTCAGCGCGGGCATTGGGCTTCAGGAGGCATTTCTGGAGGAGACCGGCCCTCCATAGTCAGTCCAAACGCGCTCCTGCACTGCGCTCAGCCAGGAGGGCACCTCGACTGACTAACAGCAGCTTCATTTAAACTGGCCTAACCATCACCGCTCTTAACGAGTTCGCTGTGCAGCACCCGCTACTGCAACAGCTCTGACCAGAGAAAGGGCACTGGCTTTAGCTAACCCGAAACACTTTAAACACCCTAAAACTCCCCATCAAGGCTCCAAGAAGAAGGGTCAAGAATCTCGTGTCTCAACTTACTACGTCGTTTCTGAAAGTCACAAAGCTGGACCAAGCCACCGACCAATATTTCAAGATGATACAGCTACAGTTTTGTCCATAGCCTAGAGCTACGTATTGATTCCTTGCTCTGAAATCAGCGCATTTACAACAGAAAAAAAAGGGCCTTCTCGCCATCTAAAGCACAGCTTTTACCCGTTGCCCATTTCTTGAACATAGCTGCCTTTACGCGCTTTTCCACCACAGGAGCAGCCGAGCACTGACCGAGACGCTGTGTAATCCCCCTCCTCAGGCTGGGCATTTTCAAAACCTGAGCCATTTTTGAAGCTAGACTAGATATCCTGCAGAGGTCCTTTCTGGTTTTATTTTTTTTAAATGACTCTGCATTTAACACTACACAAGTTTTGCATTAATTTTGCAGACACTTTGCAGAAACTGAGAGCTGGCTACAAAGGACCTCGTGAAAGCTAGTCTGAATTAGATTTTGAAGTAGATTAGTAAAACCACATTAAAACTACCTAGGCATGCTATTCAGAATTTTTCAGAGCTAAAGCAGCTTAAATATAATCTTACTTATAAAATGAATCCAGTTTAATTTAACCAAAGGTGCTACTTCCCAAAGAAGAAAGTGCCCTCAGAGATGCTCTAGAGAGGCAAGCCAGGAGCGGAGGCAGGACCTTTCACACGCCACGTGCACTCCGGCCACTTGCTTTGTGCCAGCCTCAGCAGCAGTCTGGCCCCTTTCAGATAGAGTTTAATAAAAAAAAAAAAACGAAACCATTCAACTTTTTGCCAATCCCATCAGTTAAGTGAGTTCACTGAAAGGCTGTATTGTAGTAGAAGATACCTAATGCAAGGGGAGAGGAGAATAAAGGATGCTGAGAGATCTCCTGTTAGGCAGAGAGCTATTAAATAAACTCATTTTCTTATTGCTCCCAAAACCCGCTATCTAGACAAATCCCACACTGCCCCAGGCTCCCCCAGGTCTGCCACGAAACCATTCAACTTTTTGCCAATCCCATCAGTTAAGTGAGTTCACTGAAAGGCTGTATTGTAGTAGAAGATACCTAATGCAAGGGGAGAAAGAGGAGAATAAAGGATGCTGAGAGATCTCCTGTTAGGCAGAGAGCTATTAAATCAGCTCATTTTCTTATTGCTCCCAAAACCCGCTATCTAGACAAATCTCTGTTTTGAAATTGAGAGCAGAAGCTCTCCTGTAACTGAGAACCTGAGCAGCGCCTGTTGGAGACACGTGCCGTGTGCCTGTTTGCTATCAGCTTCCCAGATCAATACACAAACTCTGCCTGCAATGTCCTAGTTAATGAAATGGGACAAACAGCTGTTCAACACCACTGGACTGCATCGATACTACGCTGAACGTAATATTCTAGAAGCTGAAGCAAACTTAATGTAAAAGCATGGTATTTTCTTGCCTTTTCAGTAGACGTTAACACTGTTCACTTTGACTCAAAGGACCAGGACAAGGTGCTGCTGTATTACGTTTGGGTTCTGAAACACCATGGTCATGCAATTATGGATAAGGTCACTGATTTATGTGGTTCTTAAAATAAGACAGCTATGCATCATGGCCAGCATGCTAGCATGCTGCCAGCCACAATCATATTTACATATGGTTGTAGAATGGATCTGGTCTAGCTTGGATGATGCTGAACTCCAAATGCTTTTAAAAATAGTACCAAGAGGTGAGAAAGTACTCAAAAGGTTACTTTTTTAAGAGCAAACCCAAAAAGAATTCTATGTAAAAGCAGGTATTTATAATTAGCAAGAAATCATGCTATTGCTAGGAATTAATTTTCTACTGCAGCTCATCACTAGGAGCATGCTTCTGTTAAAGGTTTTCACTATATGCTCAAAGCCACAGAATCTACTTAAATTTGCCGTGAAAGAAAACGTCAAGTAAAACTTACCTTGAGTCCGTTTGCTGGACACAGTCAAAGCTTCCCTGAGGATTATCTTTGCCAACATTTGACAAGTAGAAGTTAAATGTATGCACTTCATTTGGCTGATCAACTTTGGGAATTTTAATAAGCTAAAAGGAAAAAAAAAGTTTATGTAAAAACTTCAATCTACACTCCTTTGCTTGTGATCAACTAGGACCATAATTTTAAATGAGAAACTGTATTTCGAAAGTTTTGATGTGATTTCAGTCATGTCACTAAAAAGGCTGCTTTGGCACAATTCTCCCTCTGAAAGCAGCGCCGGCTACGTGTCTGTTGCAGCGGTAACTGCAGTGGAAAAGCTACAGTCGCTCAGCCTCTAATTCAGCAAAGTATTCAAGTAGCAAGTCATCCTTTCCCATTTAGTGGAATTAATATGCACGTGCTTAACTTTAAATGCAAGTGCCTGAGTATAATCAAACGGACCGAAGCTCAGCTAACAAAACAGATGAGAGCAATTCGCACAGACCACATCAGACACTGCCCTGACTTTGTGATTTATTCGGTCCTAATGAAGCACATACGGGAGTCAGCTCCAAAAAGGAAAAAAAAAAACCAACAAAACAGCAACACCCAAATTAAAAGAGTAAAACTTCTTAAACTATAAAAGATTAATTTCAACTCCAACAGGCGCTAAAAGCCTTTTTCTTTTACTCAGCTCTAGATGCAATTATTTGCATAAATGTGAAATGTAAATAGGTTTTTTGTAAGTTTAGTCAGATGTAGCAGAACTTGATTTCCTTGGCTGAACTAATAATTTAGTACAGAATGTGCCGCATTCTGCTGGAGCTTAAAAATGTAAATATGAGAAATCATTAAAATGTTTATTGGCATAAGCACATTTTTCAATGTGCTGCTATACAAAACAATACTGAAGCACAAAAAACTACTGCCATCCAATTACTTTATTCTGAAGGTAAAATTAGTTTGCAGTAAATCTAAAAAGCTGTTCTTCTGAAATTTGCTTGAAATTTTAATGGAATATTAAATATCTTTGTCAGTTGTATTGAAAAGCAATATTCAACAGTCTCTTAGAAACCTTTCCCTCAATATTTTGCTTGTGAGATTGGCATAAATGTCAATGTCATTTGCACAAAGTGCTACTACAAAACAACTCCATTACCATTTATATTTTAATTATCAGTACTGGCAGAGCTTATCAACAGCTTAGGACAGTGACTGGACATGAAGGAGAAAGTCACCCGAACACCATATCCTTGTACTTAAGTAAAAGTACTAGTGTGCTTAAAAGAACAATCTGTGCATTTTATATATGAATGGAAATAAATCGGGTAAGTTATCAAACGCATAATCTTGGATTATATATGCAGCTTTACCTTTTAATGATTATGAAGGTCAACCATCTACCTAAGAAGATCATAGGGGCCCAAAATGATCTACATTCAACAAAATTAACTACCACTGATTGAATGTTTCAGCATACGGTTATACGATAGACATGTACGTATGTACGAATTTGACAATTTGAATTCAATCCACTGCAGAAGAGGTAATGTTTTTTAGCCTGATACACTTTTTGGAAAACCAACAAGTATATACAATGATCAATCTAAGTCTGGCTCTCAAGAAATACAGCTGAGCAGAGGGAAGCAGGTAACTGTGTATGCTTGGACTTCATTCTCAAAGCTTATTTTGAGCAAATCTTTATTTTCCATTGATCAGCCTAAAGAATGTATATGCATGCAATCCCCTTAAACATTAGGAATTTCTGTACCCTAATCTTTATATTTAAAATTTTGGAAGAATTGCCATGGGCATTAAAACACAGACTGGCTCCATGTGTTTTGATGCAATAACATGAAGACAGAAGCTGGCCTTAGAGTACATTTAAAAACATGTTTGTTGCTGTTCCATTCTTCAGTGAGGTCTTATTTCTCCCAAATATTGAAAAAGACACTGATAAAGCGTGGAGAAAAACAAGTCTGCCTCCTTACAGGCAGATGCCTATGAAGCTTATCACCGACAATGATTTCCCAGGAGCAAACTCAAATGGAAACACTGAATATTTTAAAGCTTCCACACACACACACACGAACTCCGTAAGAAAGACACCGATGATGAGGGAACCAGCTACTGCAGCCATTGTGACAGGTTTCTTTGCATGAGCAAAGAAAAGGTCTAGAAATTTACTTTCCTTCTCAATTTTTTAGGATATATTTTTCCACAAACTTCGGAAGAACTAGATGACCATTCCTCAGGCATTCATGAATTTGAATGAAGAGAAGGCAATAATGGTGGGGGAATATTTCTCTGCTAGAAGATTTCAAAAGTGGCAGTGCAACTAATCTGAGAATAAAAATTTAACTTTTTCATCCTCAGTTCCAAAATTTTATTATTTAATCTGTAATACAGCAGACGCAAGCCTTTCATTTTTGTGAGCTTCTTTTTGGACCCTTTCAGAATAACCACACAGCCAAAAATCTTCCTCAGGCATTCATGAATTTGAATGAAGAGAAGGCAATAATGGTGGGGGAATATTTCTCTGCTAGAAGATTTCAAAAGTGGCAGTGCAACTAATCTGAGAATAAAAATTTAACTTTTTCATCCTCAGTTCCAAAATTTTATTATTTAATCTGTAATACAGCAGACGCAAGCCTTTCATTTTTGTGAGCTTCTTTTTGGACCCTTTCAGAATATCCACACAGCCAAAAATCTTTGTCTCTCGAACAAGCAAATTTAGCAAAGTCTGTCATAACTCAGATAACCCTGTTTAATAAACCTGGGACAAGCTCTGAGGGAAAAAATGCATTTTAAGTTATATTAAGGGCAATTAAATCAGATAAGTTTATTTCCCATATTATGGTTCAAAAGTGAAAGCCCAAACATTTATGAAACGGAATGAAGAATAGTTATTGAATCTGCAGGTAATACAAAGCTGGCAGGGACAAAATGCATGAGGATGGAGTTAAAATTGAAAGCAGTCCTGAAAAACCGCAATGGAGGTCTGAAAATAGGCGTATACTACCCTTCAAAAGAGGCTGTGCAAGGTACCTCATTTTGCAGTAAAAACCCAAAACAGTGCAGCAGCCCTACAGAAAACGATCTGCAGGTTACAGCTGAACATCCAACCAACACAAGCCCACAGTACCACGCTTTTGCAACACGGGGCTGCACCAACGCGACTACAGCAACAAGAAACAGCAGGTTGAACTGCAGGACAGTGACGCGAGACTTGCAAGCCGGAGCTGCCGCTCTCGATCCGCTTTCCGGCTCGCCAGAGGTTTCCACCACGTTTTGCCCCCTCGCACCACCCCGCTGCACACCGCCGCTCCAGGGAAGCACGATGCTTCAGCAGCTAGCCGTGCAGTGCAAATCCCAGCCCCGGTGCACTGTCCTCTACCAAATGCCACCCACCAGCTTTGACCTGAAGAGATTTCAAGGCTCCCTCCTTGCTTCTTTGCAAAGACGACCTCATCCCCTGACAAATCAACTAAACTCGTCTTAGAGAGGCACACTTGTAAAGCATGGCGTTCTTGTCAGGCAATAAGCAATCTAGAAAGTATTCCTAGGATATTAACACATTTTCAGCAACCTAGGGAAAGCAATACTTGAACGGCATAAACGTGCTGACACCACCTAGGTTTGCAAAAACTACTGTCTCCTCAAACGCTTCAGATCAAGTTTTACTGCTGTTGACATATTTGCCATTTCTTTCTGTATCTTGCAAGACAAAATAACACTTTGAAGTAGTTTATAGACTCAGCAACTTCTGCAAATAAGCCTCCTGTTTTGAATAAACAGTCCTGTTTTTACACTGTAAATTTATATTACATGGTTCTGAAAAGTTCAATAGGCAGTTCAAGGATTTTTGGCTTAATCAGAATTAAGATACTGCATTCAGCTTGAGATAAGCATAGTGGCAAAAAGTTTGTTTTTCCTATTTGAGCAATACTTGCAGAAGGTAGTCAAGGAGCCTTTAATAAGAAAGCACACATTGCAACCACATTAATCCATAATAGCAAATAAACTTTTGTTTGCACCAGGAAGCAGCACAGCAAGCCTGTTGTCAGCACGTTTATTTCAGAGAAGCTGCTTTTGATTCATATTCAACCTTCCACATATAAAGAGCGTCCTGGCTGGTACGTGTGGCGTGCAATACATTGAAAATGAATTTGCTATATTCCCTTACAGCGAAGGGGAAGATTTCTGAACAGCAAACACCCACCATTATTTGTAGCTGATCTACGCTCTTCTTCCAGAAATAGTGAAGCCCTTGCCACAATCCTTCATTAGATCTCCTGTACCCTTACCAGCAGTCAACCAAACAGGGCAATGAAAGGAGATGAGAAAGCCCTGAAGAGAAGCTGCGTGCTTGCACACCTTACCCAAAGAGTCACCCCAGTCATGTCCAGACAAGGGAAGAGGCCACCTTAAAAGCGGTGTCTATGAACACAGTTCACAACAATCTCTTCCCCTGGTTTAGGCGCCATCCTAATAAAGTGAACCATGCATCTTTCCCCTAACATTGCCCAACTTCAAACATGTTAACTAACTGGTCTGAGTTGGCAAGTCCGCAGCCTATATACTTCCCAGAATACGTACTAGCACGGAAACACAGGGCATCATTTTTCTTCTCACATGCCCAAACACATTTATCCTTGCACATACTTCTTTCCCCATTTATGCGAGAAGCCCGTCATGCGAAATACTCTCTCCACCACCAGAAGATGCATCCACATAGGCAGCTGCGCTAAGCCTTGTGCCAGCTCGCCCGTACATCCCACCCAACACGTGCAGCCCTCACTGCTCTTCTCACTGCCGCTCAGCAGCCTTCAGGCAAGTGACCCAGTTTCAGCTAACACCCAGCTCAGGTCTTAATACCTGTCTTAGCTGCTACCTTCTAGCTAAGCCCACAACTGATAAACACTCTAAGATGCCTGGGGATGGATGAGGAGCTGACCAAGAGCTTATGTGTCAGGATTAAAGGGAAGGCAGGGACAGGTGACATTACGGTGGGGGTCTGCTACAGGCCACCCAACCAGGAAGACAGTGGATGAGGCCCTCTATAGACAGATAGGAGCAGCCTCACGCTCACAAGCCCTGGTCCTCATG